AAATTGAAACACCATTCTTCGTCTTCTATACCTAACTAACTGAAACACCATTCTTCATCTTCTCCAAGGAGGAACGAAGCTCGAACCTCAAACCAACACTTTTCTTTACTCTTTCATCACGTTTTTTGTATATAAAATTTTCTCCATGATTATACTAGTAATGTTGTTGCTGTTGATGTATTTGTAGTAGTTGTCGTCGTTGTTGTTTTTGTTGTTTTTGTTGTTTTTGTTATTGTTGTTGTTGTTGTTATGGTTTTTGAGACTTAGGGTATAATTTAGTGTTGCTTTTCAAGTAATTGTAGTTGTTGTTTATTGTTATTGTTGTTTTATTATGGTTTGTTCATTTTTGTTGGATGTGTGTGATTTTTATTTTATTTTCATAAGTTGTATGTGATTATGGATTGTATTTGGATGAAATCCAATAGATTAAGTAAAGAGTACGAGAATGGAGTGATTCAATTTCTTGAATTCGCAGAAAAAATCTTCCTAACTATAATGGAATTTTTTTTCGTGTCCTTGTAAAAAATGCAGAAATACGCAAAAAAAAATTTCAATGGATGTTATATTCAGTCATTTAGGTTGTGATGAAATTATTCAAAATTACACGAAATGAGTATGACATGGTGAAGTGGCAAAAAAATACATGCATCACATAAAGTTGAAGTTGACGAGTTTATGAATGATACTCTAGAAGATATGATTAATTTAATTTTGGAGTAGATACTTTTAAGAAAGCCCGTGTGGAAGATACATTGCTAAGAGATATGGAAGATTTGTTATATTTGGGATGCAAAAATTTTACAAGATTTTCAATTGTGTTAAGACTATTTAATCCTAAGTCAGGAGGTGGATGAACGAATAGAAGTTTCACTGAATTGCTCGAATTGTTGTAAGAAATGCTCCCAGATTGTCGAACCATAGTTATGAGGCCAAGAAGATATTGCGTCTAATGGGTTTGGACTGTGTTAAAATACATGCATGTCGTAATGATTGCATATTATTCAAGAAAGAATGTGTGGGGAGTCACACTATAAGAAAAAGGACAATTGTGCTGAAGATGATGATGGTTCCTTTATTTAAAGTGGAGATTGATTATGTTACTTTTAAAGTGCATTTATTTAAGTGCAAGTGGATTAACAGTAACACTGGTGTAGAAATCGATGAATTAAGACTCACACTGGTTAATCTTCGAAAGATAGCTTATATGAACGAACCATTCATCATGACATCCCAAGAAAAACAAGTTTTTATGTCACTGATTCTTCTAACACAAAATGGTCAATTGTTCTAAAAGGAAAACATATTCCTGATAGTGATGAAAATGAAGATTTAAATTTGAGACTCCTTCTTTCGCTACACATGTACATCTCTCATATGAAGAAAATGATTCAGACAATGTGCATGCTATTCGTCATGATCATCAAGAGGGGTTATGAGAAAACTAGTAAGTAAATTTTTTATGTCACTTTGTAATATATGTTTATTCATTTTACATTTTTATTCTTTTTATTAATATTTATTTTTTCCAACACGTAGAGAAGTCGAAGGATACCCTTTGTTGCATGATTTTATAAGTAAAAGTTAGAAAATTAAAAACTCCTAAAATAAGTGTTATATGATGCATGTTGTTGATATTGAAATTTGAAGTAGTTGTTGAAGATTGAATTTTGAATGTCGTTGTTGTTCTTGAGATCAATGGTTTGAAGATTTAATATTGTTGATGATTATTCTAATTGGTTTCAAATGTTGTTCAAATTATAAGTGCTCAATGACGGGTTACAAATCACAAAAGAGAGCTTTTGGATGACCTACAAGAATTTTCATTTTGGTTATTGTTTTGTTGGTTAATAATTTGTTTTAGTTTTGTTGTAACATTATAAAGTGTATGTCATTTTGCCTCTGCAATTGGTGTAAACAATAAATATTTTCAGTACAATGTTTTTTTTTTAGAATTTCTATTTGTGAAATGGGAAAATGTACAATGTTTTAGAAATGGACAAAAAAGTTATGTAATATAAGTTAAAACAAAATTATAGAAAAAAATTAAATAACAATAAATTTTCCTCAGGTAAAATTATAAACTGGAATAATAATTCTACTTTATTACCTTGATTTATCTTATAATCGAGAGAAAATGTGAGGCGCACCATCCAATTTTAAAAATAATAAAAATGCAGTTATTAAGGATCGTTCATAATTATTAGAGATAAGAAATAAAGAGTTTAGTTATTTTACACTTGTAGACTACATATGTATATATAGTCCTCTCTTGTGTACATTGAATATCAATAACATAACTTCTTTTCACTCTTTCTTCCTTTTCTCTCTTGCTCTTCTGCATCTGTAACAAAATTCTGTTACACTATGATGAACCTCCATGTTCATCTTCTTCAATTCTAGTATGGTATCACTCGCCGCCACGATCTAACGCTTTCGTCATTTCTTTCTGCTTTCCCAGTTCTGTGTTCTTCATTCTTGGAGCTGTTTCACTCTGTGTTTGCATAAGCAAGCTTTCTTCTGCTCTAGCTCTGTTCAACGACAACAATGGAATCCGGTGATAATCAAGAATCTGGTGTCAAAGACATATCGCAACAAGGCATTTCTGGGATGGGCACAATGAAATCGAACAATCGATTTGGTCAGAAACTCTCTATTTAGTTGCAAGAAAATAACTACCTGCTATGGAATCAATAGGTTGAAGGAGTAATCTTGACTCAGAAGATGCATCGTGTTGTGGTCAATCCGCAGATTCCGTCGAAGTATGCAACCACGCAAGATCGTATCACAAGTACGATTTCTGATGAGTATCAAGCGTGGTTAGTTCAAGATCAAGTTGTGTTTATTTGGCTACTCTCAACAATATCAGAATCAATTCTTCCTCGCGTTCTTGCGTGCAAACATGCATATGAAGTTTGGGACAAAATCCACCAGTATTTCACAACACAGATGAAGGCTAGGGTTAGACAGTTGAGAGTGGAATTGAAATCTACCAAGAAAGGAGCCAGCACAATCACTGAGTTTGTGCTCAGCGTTAAAGCCATAGAAAATTCACACCTAGCTGTCAGCAGGATTGCTCTATAGATAATACATGTAATAATAGTATGCTTTGGCATCATAGGCTAGGACATGCTAATTCTACATCTGTAGCTCATATACTAAAGTTGTTTAATATTCCTTATTCAAATAAACAAAACAGTGTTTGCAAATCATGTAATCTTGGTAAGGCTCATAGGCTTCATGCCCCTCTTACAAATCATGTATATAGTAAGGCTTTTGATGTGATATACACTGATCTTTGGGGTCCTTCCCCCTTACCATCTAGTTCTGGTTTTAGGTATTATATTGCTTTTGTTGATGCTCACACAAGATATACATGGCTGTATTTCCTTAAACAAAAGTTTGAGGCTCTAGGTGCTTTTAAACTGTTCCATAAGTTTGTTCAAACTCAGTTTGGTCTTATAATCAAGTCTGTTCAGTCTGATTTTGGTGGTAAATTCAGACCATTCACTAGGTTTCTGCAGGAGCTTGGTATAACACATAGGTTAACTTGCCCTCATACCTCACATCAAAATGGTTCAGTTGAGAGAAAACACAGAACCATTGTTGAGATGGGCCTCACTCTCTTAGCTCATTCATCTATTCCTCTAACATATTGGGATCATAGTTTTGCTACTGCTGTGTATCTAATGAACAGGTTGCCAACTGCTCCTCTGACTGCATATCATTCACCTTTTCATGCTCTCTATGACAAGCAGCCAGATTACAAAACCATTCGTGTATTTGGTTGTGCCTGTTATCCTTTACTCAGGCCATACAATCAGCACAAGTTGCAGCTCAGAAGCCAAGAGTGTGTATATCTTGGAGTCTCTCCTCAACACAAAGGTTTCAAGTGTCTAAGCAAGTCTGGAAAGATTTACATCTCAAAGGATGTAAACTTCAATGAAGAACTGTTTCCCTTTCCTCAACTGTTTCAGTCCAGTACCACAACAGGTCCTGCATCTATAACCAAACCTCTAGCCTGCCCATCCAGCCTGTCATCAAAGGCACCAAATGTAGCATCTCAGACTCCAACTGTCACACCTATGAACAATGTCTCCACAAACCAGCACTTGGATCTGGTTACTACTGACCATACATCAATGCACTTAGACTCATTGGCAGTACTTATGTCTGAGCAGCCTAACCAACCTAGTCTGCCTCCTGAACCTATCAACATCAATTCATCCTCTCTTGGTACACCTACAACTACTATGACACCTACTACCTCACAAGCTACTCAAGGTGCCTTGTCAAATGTTCCCAAAGTTGTGTCTCCCTTAACAGCTATTATCCATCATACATCTGAAGCAGACCCCTCTACATGTCCTGCTAGCTTCCTCTCCCTGAAATCTCGGCCGAGATAAAAATGACTCATATTTTATGACGCCCTCTGTTACCTCACATACGGAATTAAAGTTAACTTTTATTTCTAACTAAGATAAAATAGATTTTTTTTTATCATAGTGATTACTTGTAGTATAAATTACTCATATTAATTACTTGTAGTATAAATTACTCATATTAATTATAAATTTATCAAAATTTTATGCATTTAATATTTTTATAAATTTATTATTTATACAAAAATTAATATATTTGTAAACTATAAATATCATTTTAAATATTAAAAAAAATTGCATTATATTCTATTTTTTTTATAAAAATGATATGTAAAAAGAAATGGAGAAATTAATGAAGTCACCCATGCCTAAGCCATGTGCACAAGGAATTAATAAATTTATTTTGTTTATCCAAATCTGAATTGAGGGGTAGATGTGGTTGAATTAAATTCTTTCTTTTATATTATTATCCATTGGTCAATGGAAAGCTAAGCCTCAACAACTTTATTTCAAAAATTGTAGCAAAGATAACAACCTGTCTAACATGATTATTTTCAATGTCAAACATATCACATCATTCTCAAGAGAGAACATTCACATGAACCTTTGAATTTGTGAGCTATGAATGAACTAAATAGTGTTCCAGAAAAAGATGTTGACTATACTGATTCTTTGCAACAGCTTCCAATTATTGACCTTGGAAAATTATTGTCCGAAGATATGAAGGGGGCTGAATTGGAGAAGCTTGGTGTTGCATGCAAAGAATGGGGTTTCTTTCAGGTTAGTTTTCATCTAAATCTCCCCCTTCTTTTTTATCTAAGTTTTTTCTTGAAATTTTGATTCATCTTATATTAGTATAATATGTAGCTACTCAGCAGTTATATAGAATGACATTCCACACTTTACAAATCGGTTGGGTAAGGGATGAATCAGACAAACTTTATTTCTGACAAATAAAACTGTGTGGTTATGTGTAACAGCTTATTAATCATGGACTTAGCATGGCATTAGTAGAAGATGTGAAGATAGGTGCTAAAGAACTTTTCAATCTTTCAATGGAAGAGAAGAGTAAGCTTTTGCAGAAACCAGGAGATATGGAAGGGTTTGGAGAAATGGTTGACTTTTCTAAAAATGAGCCATCGGATTGGGTAGAGTCGTTTTACATTTTCACACTTCCTTCCCACTTAAGGAAGCCTCATTTATTCCCTAGTTTACCACTTCCATTTAGGTGCAATTCTATCTCTTTTCCTTCTGTTTGTCCTCTTTTCCTTAATTATTTAATAATTAAAATATTATTTAATTAACCCAAAATTTAACATTTTAAAAGTTGGATATATATATATATATAATATATATATATATATATATATATATATATATATATATATATATATATATATATATATTTATATATATATATATATTATATATATGATAGAGAGAGAGAGAGAGAGAGAGGAGAGAGAGAGATAGAGAGAGAGAGAGAGAGAGAGTAGAGAGAGAGAGAGAGAGAGAGAGAGAGAGAGAGAGGAGAGAGAGAGAGAGAGAGAGAGAGAAGAGAGAGAGAGAGAGGAGAGAGAGAGAGAGAGAGAGAGAGAGAGAGAAGAGAGAGGAGAGAGAGAGAGAGAGAGAGATGAGAGAGAGAGAGAGAGAGAGAGAGAGAGAGAGAGAGAGAGAGAGATGAGAGAGAGAGAGAGAGAGAGAGAGAGAGAGAGAGATATTTAAAAAAATTATCTTGTCTAGTAACAAAAATCAACCATGTACTTATTATTCTGGTAAAAACAAGATTTACTTTAGATAAATACAATTCATAGATATTTGATTGCAAGGATGCTGGTTTGAAGTTGCTTTCATTTACTCATTTTGTGAAGAGTTTTAGAATGCCACCCAATGCATGAGTTCATTTAGTTTAGTTGTTCAATACTACATTGATAATAAGTTATTGTTGATTGCTGCAGGGAAAATTTAGAGGCTTATTGTATAAAGATCAGAGAACTTTCCATCAACATTATGGTTTTTATGGGGAAATCTCTTGGCATAGAATCAGATGATATTAAAGAGTCACTAGGAGAAGGTGGCCAGTCAATTAGGATGAATTACTATCCTCCTTGTCCTCAACCAGACAATGTCATTGGCCTTAAGGCTCATACCGATGGCTCTGCCCTTACAGTCCTTTTCCAAAACAATGAAGTTGAAGGACTCCAAATAAAAAAAGATGGAACATGGATCAGTGTTAAGCCTCTCCCAAATGCTTTCATCGTTAGTCTTGGAGATGTTATGGAGGTAATTCATTTCATCTTTTATACAAGTTCATTGTTGTGGATTTTATTTGAATGTGAATTTTTATGATAGGTAATGACAAATGGTGTATATAAGAGCACAACACATAGAGCTATAGTAAACTCAGAAAAAGAGAGACTATCTATAGCTACATTTTATGGTCCAGAATGGTGTGGAAATATAGGTCCATTATCATGTCTTGTAACTCAAGAAACACCACCATTGTTCAAAACAATTGGTGTAGCTGATTTTTACAAGGGATATCTTTCACCTGAGCATCCTGGTAAATCATATATAAATGATGTTTTGAGAATCTAAAATAAAGACATCAAGTACTAGCTTTTTAAGTTGAATCTGTTTGTGATTATGAAAAAAATAATAATGTAATTCTTGACTTGGAGTGTGAGTGGTTTGTAGTAAGAATTCTTGGCATTTCAAATAAATGTATTAGTTGATCATCACAAGATTTGGAGTATGAGTGCTTTGAAGTAAGAATTACTCAGTATCCTCCTTATGAATACTAAATTAAAAATATCAATGAACTTTATTTACTTTTTAAAATATAAATAGTCTTTAAAAATCTTCATAGAAAGAGCTTTTAATAAATTAGTTTTACATGAAATAGTTATTTTAAATTTGGAAGCTAAAGTGTTAGAATCCGAAAAAAAGTTTAACACTATTAAGAAATTTATGATAGATTTTAAAAATAACAAGAATGAGAATATAAAACCTCTTAGGTTTAGTTGTAAACATTGTCATGATTGACAAGAGGAGATAAAATCTATTCAAGTCAAATTGGATGATGCCTTACAGCTTAAGATTGCATTTGCACTACAAGAAATATTGCAATTTCCCACATAGTATTCACGTCACTAAATTGTGACATGGAATACACGTCACAAACCACCAAATTAATTGAAAAAGTTCTCACGTGAAAATCACGTCACTAATTAGTGACGTGAAATTCACGTCGCAAATCACTTTTCCCAAAGTCCCTGCAGCGCGTTCAGTATTGCAACATGCAAGTTTTTCCATGTGATTTCCATGTCACTAATTAGTGACATGGTTTCCATGCCACAAACTAAAATCTGTTTTAAGTTTAGTAACTTTGTTTTCACTTCACTGTTTAATTTAATAATAAAAAAAATATTAATGAATACAACAAATTAATGAATAATAAAATATAAAAATTTAAATGATTTTTAATTAAAAATTTTAATTTTTTTAATATATACAATTATTAAAAGATATAAATATTTAGTCACATTATATTTACGTCACAAACATAAAAAATAATTTAAAAAATTATCACGTAATATTCACGTCACAAACATAAATAATAATAAAAAAAAAGTTATTCATTGTCACTACTAAATATAGCATCTTCATCTTCTTCATCATCTTGGACAGAATAATTCGATTGTGAGGCAAAAAAATGTCGCATGTGTGTCTGCTGTTGGTGCAAAGGTGAATAAATGATGAACAAAGGAAATATTCTATTAAGAATAACGGCTACAAAAACATGATGATAAAAGTTACAATGATTGTCACCCTATTTATAAGCTAAAACTAGGGTTACTAGAATAAAATAAAATACTAAAATACCCTCTAACAAACTTAGGGGCTAAGGAAAATAGTACAACTAAATAAATATGAATTACTATTAATATTCTAATACCATCCCTTAATTCATATTCCATCAAAACTTGTAACACCAATTCCATCCCTTAGTCTGAGAAATTGATCAGTCTTGACAGCTTTCGTCAGAACATCTGCCAACTGCTTCTGAGTGCTGCAGTGTACAACTTCTAACACTCCACTCTAAATTTGATGTCTCAGAAAATGATACTTGGTCTCAATATGCTTGCTTCTCCCATGCAACACTGGGTTTCTGGCAAGATTGATTGCAGACTTGTTGTCAATCATCAACTTCAGAGGTTTGTCTACTTTAATCTTCAGATCCTGCAACAGATTCAGAATCCACACAGCTTGGCATGCAGTAACAGCACCTGCAATGTATTCAGCTTCACAGGTTGACAACGCCACAACAGGTTGCTTCTTGGAACACCAAGAAATGGAACCTCCCAGAAATTTGAACAAGTACCCAGATGTACTTCTTCTGTCAACTCTGTCTCCACACCAATCAGAGTCTGAATAACTCAGAAGTTCTGACTCATTATTTCCTCCAGAGGGAAATAACACTCCATACTTCAGAGTTCCTTTGATATACCTCAGAATCCTGACAGCAGCTTGGTAATGGGACCACTTAGGTTTACTCATGAACCTACTAACCATCCCAACTGAGTAGAAGATATCAGGTCTGGTATTGCACAGATATCTCAGAGAACCAACCAACTGTTTAAAGGTCGTAGCGTCCACATCCTTTCTTTCAGAGTCTGAATCCAGTTTCTGATTTGTATCAGAAGGTGTGACAGCCATCTTACAATTCTTCAGATCAAATCTCTTCAGAAGTTCTAATTCATACTTGAGCTGATGCAAAATGATACCTTTCTCAGAATATCTGAACTCCATCCCAAGAAAGTATGTCATTTTGCCTAGATCAGTCATTTCAAATTCATTCATTAGAACCTTCTTGAACTTGGCTATCTCCTGTTCAGAACTTCCAGTCAGCAGTATATCATCAACATATAAACATACCAGAGTCATATTGCCTTCAGAAGTATGCTGAACATAGACACCGTACTCCATCTCACATTTCTGAAAGCCTAGCTTCTTGAAAAAAGAATCAATCTTCTGATTCCAAGCTCTGGGTGCTTGTTTCAGTCCATATAGAGCTTTGTATAATCTGTACACCATCCCTTCCTGATTCTTTTTCACAAATCCAGGAGGTTGTGACACGTAAACTTCTTCTTCTAATGGACCGTTCAGAAATGCAGATTTTACATCTAAATGCATCAGAGGCCAATTCCTGTTAGCAGCTATTGCAATCACCATTCTGATTGTTTCATGTCTTGCTACAGGTGCAAACACTTCAGAGTAATCCAGCCCAGGTTTTTGTAGAAATCCTCTGGCTACCAACCTTGCTTTATGTTTGCCAATTGAACCATCTGGCTTTAACTTCTGCTTGAAAACCCATCTAACACTGATGGCTTTCTTGTCTTTTGGAAGTTCTGTCTTTCCAAGTCTTGTTTCTCTCTATAGCATCAAGTTCTTCTTTCATGGCCTTCAGCCAGAGCTTCTGCTTAAGAGCCTCTTATGTACTTATGGGTTCAGAGTCTACCATCATGGCACACTGAATAACTTCTCCTTCAGAGTCTACTTCAGTGTCTTGCAGCATGTCAAATTCTGCAAATCTTCTGGAAACGCTTCTGATTCTTTGTGGTCTCTGAACTTGTTCAGAGTCTTGATCTTCATAGTTTGAATTTCCACCAGAATCTGAATTACCATCAGAGTCTGGATCATCAGAGTCACCTTCATCTTCTGAGTCCTCTCCAGAGTCAGAATCACTATCAGAGTCAGAATCAACGTCAGAGTTTACTTCAACTTCAGAAATTCTTAACTCTGACCTTTCTTCAGAAGTTCTAACATCAGAATCAGATTGAAACTTATCCCAATTCCAAACTTCTGATTCCTTCACAATCACATCTCTGCTGAATTCAATTTTATTGGTTTCTGGACAATAGAGCTTGTATGCACCTGTACTGTGGTACCCTATCAGAATCATCACTTTACTTCTATCATCCAGCTTCTGTCTTCTGGCTTCTGGAACATGTTTATAGCAAACAGAACCAAACACCTTCAGATGACTAACACTTTGCTTATCTCCAGTCCACTTCTGTATTGGAACTATTTCCTTCAACTTCTTCATAGGACATCTGTTGAGTACATACGTTGCAGTGGCAACAGCTTCTCCCCAGAGCTTCTGAGGAAGCTTCTTCTCCTTTAGCATGCTTCTCACCATATCAAGCAAAGTACGGTTTCTTCTTTCAGCAAGACCATTGTGTTGAGGGGTATAAGGAGCAGTAACCTCATGCTCAATTCCATTCTCCTCACAAAACTTCTGGAACTCTTTGGAGTTATACTCACCTCCACCATCAGTTCTAAGAATCTTCAACTTCTGACCACTTTGATTCTCAGCCTTCATTCTGAACTTCTTGAATTCATCAAACACCTCATGTTTAAATTTAATAAGGGATACCCATGTCATTCTTGTGAATTCATTAACAAACAACACAAAGTATTTATTCCCTCCAATTGATGCTACTGGAAATGGACCACACACATCAGAATGTACAACTCCCAAGGCATGTTTTGCTCTTGGAGCAACTTCTGACGCAAATGGCAAACGTGGTTGTTTTCCTTCCATGCAAACTTTGCATGACTTCTTAGGCTTCTTAATTGAAGGAATTCCATGTACCAACTTCTTTGAATTCAGATGTTTTAAGCTTCTGAAGTTCAAGTGACCAAATCTTCTGTGCCACAGCTCACTCTCCTTCTCAGCACATGTTGCACTAAGACATTCTGAGTCTGCAGTTTTGGCATTCACCTTGAATGTTCTATTCCTTCCTTGTTCTGACTCCATAATCAACTTCTGATTGTAGTCATACAGCTTCAGAAGATTATCCTTCATGGTAACTGAAAAACCTTTCTCAATTAATTGTCCCACACTCATCAGATTGCTTCTGATGCCAGGTACATACCACACGTTCTAAATCAATGCTATTTTCCCATTGTTCAGAGTCACTCTGACATTTCCCATACCTTCTGCATTAAGATATTTGTCATCAGCACATCTGATCTTTGTCCTCTTTTCAGAGTCAAAGTCAACCAGCCATTTCTTGTTTCCAGTAAGATGATTTGAACAACCAGTGTCCATATACCACCAGTCTATCAGATCCATATCATCAGATTCAAAGGCCATCAATAGCACAGATTCGTCATCAGAACTTCTGGCTATATTTGCTTCTTCTGATTTCTTCTCCTTGTTTGACCAACAATCTCTAGCAAAGTGACCAAACTTCTTACAACAGTAACATTGGATCTTCTTCTTGTCATACTTCTCTTTTCCCTTCTGAGCATTCTTTTGCCTATCAGAGATTGAGCTTTCTGACTTCTGACCACCATCAGATCTTCTCTTGGCTTCTGACTGCTTCTGATACCTCCTATCAGAAGTTGCTTTCAGAGCCTGCTGCTCTACTTCCTTTTCAGAAGTTCTCTCAGTCAAACGCAACTCTTGCGCCTCTAAACTGCTCTGCAGCTCTTCAATTCTCATGGTACTCAGATCTTTGGAATGTTCTATTGCTACCACAATGTAATCAAATTGAGAGGTAAGGGATCTCAATACCTTCTCCATGATT